AGAGACATATTTATAAAGTGCTATTTAATGGAAGTTCAGTGAAGCCGGTGCACACTTCTGTGTTCATAGTGATTGCAAAGTCCCTCATCACAGATTCACCTCAGCAGTGACATGGAATCTGGAGTCCCTGATTTTCACACCTTCAAAAAGTGGAGCCACATTCAAAGTTTTTCCTTTGCAATTCTCTCTCTTTTGGGCAAAACAACTCCTGATATGTATGCAATGCTAAAATGCAGAGGACGCATTTCTATATGGGGACGATATGGAATGTACCTTAGCCTCAACCTTGTGAAAAAAAATAAAGTTAGGTCACTCAATAGTTGTTCACATGGTCTTGGATTTAAGTAAGTAAGTAAGTAATCTTTACTTATATAGAGCCTTTCACAGACATCAGGTGTCAGTTATAGATTTGTTGTTGACAAAACACTTGTCTATTCAGATATCATGGTCCCAGCTGGATTCGTCTGCATATCTGGCAACCTGAGTCAGGGAGAGTGGGAGAGGCTGCAGTACCACTTTTGGACTGATTTTTACATACTGCTCCTTTAAATAGAACTTGTAGATACAGTACAATGAAGGGAGGTGACCTGCTTGTCTCCATATTTTGCCTTAAAACTAGTAGTAGTAAGTAATCTTTATTTATATACCGCCTTTTCACTGCAGCTCAGACTCTCAAAGCGGTTACAATTGTTATTTTTGGGCATTTGTCTCTCACTCCACACAGAGATAGGAGCAAGGGCACCAGTACAGAAGGCGCATGCTAGATCTATTGCGCATGTTTTTAGTGGTAGGCAGACACGGGGAGAACATGCAAACTCCACTCAGAAAGGCCCTGGTCCAACCGGGATTGGAACCCAGGACCTTCTTGCTGAGAGGCGAGAGTGCTATCCAGCCGCTCGGTCATATTGTACAAACTCAACACTTTTAACCATGACACACGATTGTCCCTCATTGAAACCAGATCTGTAGAAGATGCCACGCAAATACCAGGAACTTCAGAAAACTTTGTCATTACTTCAATCACAATCACATCTACACAATCACATCTTCTACAATCACATATCTGTGTTTTAAAATAAAACAAAAGAAAATCAATTCCTCCCTCTGGTGGTAGCAATTGCACCTTCATGCTTTTTTCATAATATATTTCTACTTAAGATATTATTGCACCTTCTAAAAAGTCCCATTATAAATAAATGGGAAATAATGCCAATAGTAATGTATAATAATTATTCATTAAACTAACATTAAAGTGGTTATGATATACAACAGAAATTAACTTCCTAAACGTCAAAACAATGTTCTTCAGTTTAAACATGTTTTTTTGGCCTCTGTCACATCTTTAGATTCCTTTTCAGACAGAACATTTCCCAGGAGAGGACCACACTCATCCAATCAGATCACGTATATCTGGGTTTTCACCTCAAAACGCGGAACATTAGGCAACGATCCTCCAAGCAGGTGGTAGAATTCAAGCAATGGGTTACACTAAATACTTTCATAACTTTCTAACCCGAGTCCAAAAGTTACATATTTTGCTGCATCTTCCAAACCAATCTTTTGTGAGACCATGTACAGGAAGCTCTATGTGTAATAATTACTGTCCGGGGATCGGTAAAGGAAGAGGTTGTGATCACTTGAGGCGATCTGAGAAAACAAATGGACAAAAGAAAGCATTAGGACCGTTGCAGGAAAAAGAACATAAAGGAAAGCGGTTTTGAACCCAACATTAAAGCCTCACAGTTTTTGGAAGACACACAGGGAAATGTTTAAATGACCTCTGAGCAAAAAGGACATACAGTCGCCTTTATTTTTGTACCAAAACTTTGAAACTAAAATTCACAATTATTCCTATAGCTCTGAAAACAGACTGGTTCTATCTCTAGTTTTTACATGCATGCATTTTTGTCCTCTGTCATATCTTTGGTTCAGCTTTTCAGACAGAACTGTGAAAATGAGAGTACCAACCTCACTCAACCAATCAGCTCTCAGTATGTGAAAATATGTCTAAATAAGTAAAAACATAAATAATAAATAAGATGAGACAGTATTTTGTGGTCTGATTTGTTCACAGAATGTTAAAAAACTCTTTCTGTTGGGACAAATATGTTAAAATAGTACGTAAAAGGTCACTGATTATACCAAAGTAATTGTTTTTTATTGTGTTTGCTTCAGGTAACATTTAGGCCCCGAAGTCTCCTCTCTGGTCTCGCAGGATGTTGATCAGCATCAGCCACACCCTTTGAACATCATCTACAAAAACAATGGCTCACCTCCTTCACCACATCCCTGTTCCCTTCCCAGGAGCCCGGTTCCCACACTGCTGTCCAGATCTGACCACTCCTGGCCCATTGTTTACGGGTCGACTGTCCTGTTGGAGCGGCTGAGGAGGCACAGACTGTATGTTTACACACCTGATGGATCTCTAGTCTCAACACACACGGAACATATCATGAGGCAGGTTTTCAGATTTTAACCATGCTAACAATCTATTTCGAACCAGGTACAAGTTTATTTTTCTGTTGTAACGATATATGTGAAAATAATTATTGTGCAGGTTCCAAACGAATAAGGTATGATGAACGCTCTGGCTCTGGAAGGGGATGGGTCAAATCAGAAGGATATGTATTGTGAAGACTGTTGGCTGCAGACTGTAGAACATAACAATTCTACAGTATAATTTCATAATATAAAAGTAAACACAATACATTAAGTCAGTGGTTGTTATGTCATTATTAGTAGAATCAATATTCAGGTCACAATATAATATTGTACATTTAAACATGTTAGTCGCTAACATTTTACAAGAAAAATTACAAATGTAAAATAGTGACACAAATTTATTTTAGAAAAGATTAATTTAGAAAGATTTCTGAAAGCAAACTTACCAAAGTGATTGTATTAGACACTGAATAGAAGAACATATTTTATTTTTATTTGGCCATAGCTTATTTAGAACTTGATAGTCTTTTCTCAGAATCTTAATTTGTTTCCAGTATGCAAATGTTATTCTGAATCTAAAATCAGTGCAATATTGACGTAAACAAAAAAAACCAAACTTACCAATGTTTGATAATTATATAGAATTATAGAGCAGCAAATGCAACACACTGTAGGGTAATCCATTAATGTTGTGAACAAGGTAGTGTAAAAAATTGTGATAGTTTGATAACCATTTGTACCATGAGACATCGCACTATTAGACTGCTAATAGTCCACCGTTTACTTGGTTTTCAGATTGATCTCCTTTAGAATTGTAGAGTTTATTTTGTACCTGACAGTTTCAACTTCTTCAGAATAGAATACCAGGTGTGTGAAAGTAAAAAATCTCTGGAAATCTCTGGAAATCTCTGAAACGTGGCCCCAGGACTATAAACCAGGATGAAAGGGTTCTCTCACACACCTGGCATTCTGTCCTGAAGAAATCGGACTGCAAAAATGGTGATGTTGCCCTGCCTCTGGTGGTAGCAAGACGGTGCCAAAAACTGAAATACAGCTGACAGTACACATACAAGACAAAACCCTCTGGACTTAAAAACAAGAACCAACTTTTGGAATAGATGACCAACTTTTGTTTTCAAACTGCCCCTAGGCTGAAAGTGAATGACTATTTGATATCATAGCCACCAGAAGGCGTTACTAAACAGGATTTGTTCTTAACAATTAGTCAATCAGTGATAAATTACCCGTGTGCGTGTGTTTAATGCTTCATTACAGCTGTATTTGGGAATCGGACATTTCAAGGAAGCACTACTACACGAGCACGTCTCTGGTCAAAGAGTTCAAGAGCAAAAACACAGACATGACATGAATAAGTGCTCTAATTAGTTTCTTTATTAAAGAGTTCCGGAAAAGCAAGTTACTTCCTTGAATTCCAGCCTGGCACCAAATCAAAGCTATTTCAATGAATGATATTCTAGTCACATTTCTTTTAAATATGATATTGTGCAATCACGCCTTGTACAATAAAAACAGCCTGTCGATCCAAGACAATGGCATTAAGGGGATTAAACTTCCTGAGACCTCCCACACCGATGCCCTATGGCTCACATTCCGAGAGCAGGAGAAACACCGAGATCAAAGAGAGAACAAAGCCCGGTCGATCCTGCGTGCAAGTTCTCTGCCATGTGTGGACAATACTAGCACAGCGAAACATGGAAATCCTCATACGACACGTGTAAGAGCCGAGACACTTTGATTAAAACATTTAGGGCCCAAACTATTTCATTCAAAGCACAGAGTGAAAAAAAGCAAGGCCATTAAATACAGTCACAGTATTACCAGGCTTGTCAGGTTTAGGTTTACAAGAACAGAGTCAATTCTTCAAAACATGGGATATTTTTCAACAGAATCTTTGGTGTAAAAATAGGCAAACACTCAAAAGAAATGCTGCATGATCTCCAGGACACGTTCGATACGGCAGCCTTGTTCTTTTATTTATACTTATTTTCTTGCTTTTAGCAGTAGTCCCATTTCTATCTATATATTCATTTGTTTATTTGACAGGGACATTGCGCAATAAATGTATTGTTCAGACCAGCTACAAGCTCATTTTCATCTGTAGTTTTTGGCCCGAGGCATTCTGACCACAAGTTTAACTGCTTCACACAAAAAAATTAAATAAATCGATGCCTAAAGGGCTATCTAAAAGTTTCCAGGAATCAGATGAAAAGCCTGATTGTTGTCAAATAGACACTCTGGTCTTTCTTGCAAGGGATGACATATTTTCCATTTTGATATAGACAGCATGTTGTGGCCTAATTTCTTCACAAATCAGTTTCTTTTATGAGAAAAAAAGGTTACCCCACCTTTAAATGTGAATAAATAAATGTATACGGTAAATGCAGACACCAAAAGACATCTAACAACTGTATGGACCCCACAATCACCATAGAGATTCTATAGTCCTGTACGGCTTATACTGTATAGTCATGACCAGAGAATTCAGTTCAGTCTTTGTCCAAACATACAATCCATCTCAGCATGCAGTCCTCCAGGAGCTAGCTCTCCTCGGGTCGGTTTTTATTCAAAGCTGCTTTTGGGGTGAACTCCAGTTTGTCCTTGAGGCTCAATACTTGGGTGCCGTCTTTACCCATTTGCTCTTGAAGCTTTCGCTCTTCTCGCAGTTCAAAAATGCTCTTCTCTTCACGGGATTTCGGTGTTTCAGACAGAAACCACTCAAGATGGTAGCCCACTGCTCCGACCACGAGGGCCACTGGGAAGGTGATGTACGGAGCATAAGTGCGCATCGCTGTCCACATCACCGGCCACATGTCTGCTCACTCAAGATATTCTGTCTGATCGATGAAAAAGGCACCTGCGGAATATAAATTTTAAGATTAGGATTAGGAGATCTGTTATTCGTCCCATAGTGGAGACATTTTAAAGCTATTGCCGTGGTACTGTTAAGTTTTAAAGGTTCCTCTAGACAACTCTGATAAGATCCATCAATTGAATGTCACCATGGAGACGTTATTGATTTGAAGTAGACAATATCTACCGACCAATCAATATCTATCTAATAATATAGTATAACAACAGACAGTAAATCATATTCTCATTTGAGTTTACCTCGACCAATTATTTAGGGTTACTCAAAAATATGTAAACATATGTGTGAACAACAGCTTGAAGTGGACTTATTCTTTATCCAAAATATAATAATGAGTGTAACTAATGTTTATTTATATAGTGCATTTCACAGACCAAGGTCACACAAAGCCCTTTACAATGTTTGGAGTACAGATATTTTTTCCATTCTCTCCAAACACAGTGATAACAGCAGCGAGAAGCCTCCAATCATCGCCATTCATTCACAATACACATGATGTCCATAATATTTATGTTAGAATGAGGCTCTTATCTAGGTTTCCAATTTCAGTTTGTTGGTGAAATGTAGCTGGTTATTAGGGGTGGACAATATAGATCGTCGACAATAATATCGCAAAAGTGAATTTGAAGATATGCTTTTTCGCATTATCGTCATTTTTTACAATCAGAGCATACCAGATGCCTGTTCATCAAATGCGTGCCTAAAAAGACAACCACTGCTTCATTTGTACATTTCTATCAGATCTTCAAGTGTTACTTGAATTGGATTTTTTTTATGTTAATGAATGTTTTTGCATGTTTTGCAAAGATGTGCGATACACTTTACAAATACAAAGCTGCTAATTTAATCTACAGTGTCTCTATCTATAGATGCCCCAGCAAGCAAAACATTGCAGATCATTTTGTGTAAAAATGTGATTTTGAAGATATCTTGACAATATCGTTATCCGGAGTTGGTTAAAATAGATAATTATTATTGCCCATATCGCCCACCCCAACTGGTTATAGCCCTTTCATCAATAACAAAAATTCACAAAATAAAAAAAAAGCACCACACATATTTAAATGAAACCATAAACTAAACTCCAAGTCCCTTTAAATCGTTAGTGAGTGCTCTCGCCACTTCACAGATATGCCCAGTAACTTTGATGTTGTCTTTGATCAAATATACAGCTTTAAAGTGAGTTCTCCCAGTTATTAGAATGGTGGGTAGCGGACCGCGTCACAAAAGTAGCGTATTGTGCCTTTAGGAAGACGAGCAGGATCCATTCATTGGTGTGATATATTAAAGAGCTGTTGTATCATAAGACACATTCAAGGTCAAAAGGATTTCAGCTTGATCAACATTAACCAGAGAGCATAACACAAACTTTTATATTACACAAACATTTCAAAGTCATTTGGTGTTCTTGGGACAGCCAGTTATGACATGGCCATGAATTCCACATGACAATAATTATGTATAGATACGTACTCGCACTATATGTTGGCATTATAAAGGACACATCCACGCTACAATTATCCAACAACCAACTATCATTCATATTCGGTATCTGTTAAATGTAGTCGGTTATTGCTCATTCTCACCTTTACCAGAAGCACGCTGATAGCAGAGCTGCCACTTCCGCGCTCTCTTGTGATTGGTCAATGCCGCAGAAAGAAGTAGCGCCTCTTCGTCTATAGCACCACCTGCCGGCCAAAGGGGGAACGTCAGCCTATCAGTTGTACATCTTTAAAAGAAAGTATAATGTATCTTTAGAATCACATGGCGTAAACTACACTTGCACTGGAGGAGGATGAGGATGAAATATCGGCTTTTGTCAAACGATGAATGACAAAATGTTAAATTGGGCAAAACATAAATATAGACAGGACAGGAGCATTAGTCTTTTGCGATAATTATTTTTAATCATTGTCCAGATTTGGAATGAAATTAGTGAAGATTAGTCATTAGTTAAGATCAAGTCTCCTTCTCTCCTATTTGTTCTTTTTGATGCTTGACCAGATATAATAATATATATATAATATATAATTACTCTTTTAGCAATAGTTTTAGTCTAGTTATTGCTAATCCTTTGTCATTTCATATACAGTACATACTATGAGGAAAACCTTGAACAATAAAAAGCTGATATTCCCAACTTTGAAACGACAACATGATTATATAACATCACATGTCACACACTCAACCAATCAGCTCTGAGTATGCAAAAGATAAAATGTTTAGTAATAAGCTAAGCATATATGGTGAATCAAAACGAAAAAGGTGAGGTGCTCCAGCTTTAATAACAAATCATTGGTGTCAATTTGTCTAAGACGGTTAGAACTCAATTTAAAGTGTGAATCGGTTAAAATCCTCTGAAAACATCATATAGAAACATGTGATAATCTGCATTTTCTCAGCAAAAGGGAACTCATACAGATCCTGGTACATCAACAAAGATCCTTTAAACTGGCCAGACAAACCCACTTCCTATACAACAATGGTGGACAATTAAGTGGAGTATAATTAGGAATGAGTTCATTTTTGCCTTTACTCATTCCACAACACTAGTGGTAATAAAGTAGTATTGAAAGGTATAAACATTGAATAATAAAATACACTATAAGGCTAGATAACGTTATGGTTTATTAAAAATACTGTAAAAAATATTGCTAAATTATTATTAAAAAAGCTTTAGTGATTTCCATAGTATTGGCATAGATGAGAACAAGCATAGGTTAGTAAAGCATTGGCAGTTATATCTATTTGGCAAACGAACTTTCACTTTGTTATCAATTAAATATATTGGTATTATGGTCATTAAAGTCTGTTACTTATTGCCCGTGTGCATAGCTTTTCATAGGTGTACAATTCAAGTATGAAAGAGGAAACAATAACACTAAAAGGCATTATGCTAAAAACAAACCAGCCTCATTACTCGTACTACTAATGTGGTTAAGTTAAAAAAAAATATTACACTTATGGCATTTAGAGGGAAATAAAGTACATACATTGCATAATATGTCACAAAGGAATGTCGAAAGTAAAATATAATGGCCATACGACCTCATTTGGCATCTTGGAATATGAAAATGTGCAAATTCTATAATGCATTGGCAGTCGTGTTTGTCTCTTCCTCCGCTGAATACAAAGTCCCTCGCTGTGGCACGTTTGCTAGTAAACGTCAGGAGATCACATGAGCCTCGTTACGGCGCTGCTTAGGAAGTCCTCATAGTTCATGCGGATGTTGCCAGAGCGGCTGGTGTCCCTCTCCCGGAACACCTCGGTCATGCTCTGGAGCTGGGTGCAGACCTGGATGAAGCGGTCCAGCTGAATCCCGGGCCGCGCACTCCTCACACTGAAGCGTTGCACCAGCGTCTCGGTAAACTGCGGGCTCAGGTTGTAGCCCATCTGCGCAAGAGCTGGAACAAAGAAAAAGCTTTGTTTACAAAAGATTGTCCATTTACTTCGGTAAAATGTATATTTATAAATAACAAACTAATTTAAAAAGGGATGTATCAAGCCTTTATTTGTTAAAATGTATAATGATCTGCTCAAAGCTTGTAAAAACCCCAAATAAATATTTTGATAATGGACTAAAACCCATAATCATCAAAATTATAACGAAAGTAATTTTGTAATTTACAAAATTATGTGTTTTTCCTTTATTTGGATGCAACAGTGTGTATTAATGAAGAGCAGCAGCTGTAAATACACCAGATACACCACAAAATATTTTGTTTTGCCGGTTTCAGCTAACACACGTTTATTGTGGTAGGGGAAACCAGAGTACCCGGAGGAAACATACACAGACACAGGGAGAACATGCAAACTCCACACAGATTGTGTCTCCAGGTGGAATCGAACCCAAGACCTTATGGCTGTGAAGCACAAATGCTAACTGCGAGATGAGTCTATAGCTTTTATTGGTTCAATATTGTACATTTAATTACAGAATAACATTAACTTTTGAATGAAATTCAAATTTTCCAAGTTCCCACTGTCTGTAGTGTTCAAAACAAACAATTTCATTAAAACTGATTAAAGACAAATAAAACAGTTACCATGTACTTGGATGTTTCTTCCAAACACAATCAAGAGATGTATAAAGTGTAATAATGTAAGAAACACCTTGGTGCAGCTCTGTGCCGCTGATGCAGCCTGAGCGGTCCCTGTCGTACTGCTGAAACAGAGCTCTCCAGCGCTGCATGAACTCCCACAGTGCAGAGAATCCAAACATGTCGATGCGCCCCGTTTTTGTCTTGTCAAACATGTCTGAAAGAATTAAAGAATGGGTTCGTCAGGACTTTATTGATTGTACTGCGTTTTAAAATCATGTACTATCATTCTCCTTTTTTTATTATTGTGTTTCCTAATCCAAGGGCACAAAGCCGTTAATGATGTTATGATGGGAACAGTTACTGGTTGAAGGTAGTGATGTGCTGAGCGTGCCGGGTCTTCGAAGCGTGTACCGAGTAAAAAAGGGGCATATTTTTTGAAGCGTGGTTCGAGGCGTGTGTTGGTGACGTTCGAAGCCTCGCGTAGCGGCCGCACCACGTGACTGTTCATATAGTGCTTCATATCGAGAGTGCATTGCTTTGACAGGTGCTTTGTGATCCGCGGCTGTACCATGGACTGTATTGGCTGTCCCCGTCTGCCTCTGTGTGCGTACGTGTGTGTGCGTGATGTGGAGCAGTCCTGTACTAAGTATAGAGAAACTACTTCATATGAAATACAATTAAAAACGTTTCACTTTAGTAAAACCACATATATCAAGGCTTCAAGTTATTAGTAATAATACGCTGGATACTACATCTCACAACAGCTGTGTGGCACAGTCGGTATATGACGGACTCCGAAGCAGAAGATATAGCGTTCGAATCCTGGTCTACCCATAATAAATTTTGTGTTGCAAAGTAAATGTATTTATTTATTGGGAATAAATGGTTTGTTGTGTTTAATTAATCCACCTCTTGGTAGTTTTTCCTCCATTAATTACTTTCTGTAGAACTGTATTACTTTGGATGTGTTTGTTGTATCAACACAATTGACTGAAAGACTCAAATAGTTCATAGTTCATGAAGCATCATTTCAAACACAACACGTTAGACCATAGACTGTAAATATACATTTTAACATTAGATCTCACCATTCATTGTAAGCACTTAAGAGTGTTATGTATTTTTTGTCCACATGATGGCGTAGTGGAGCATGATTCACCTCGAGCCTTGAGTAATTGAGAATGAGGGGTCACGTGATAATTTGGGCGGGGTCTAATCCGGTCGGCCATGTTGATAGGATCCTCCATCGGTTGCCAGAGACAACGCCACTAACGCTAACGCTCCAGAGGTCTTTAAATTGAGCACGTTTATTAGTTTGGCAGTAGATACATCTACGATTACAACACTAGCAAGACAGTTAATGGAGAAAGTGAAGGCGAAAGGAAATGGACCGTACAGGGAAAAGCAAAACAACGTTATTTGGAGAAGCTCTCAGACATACAACAGGTAGACCCATACGAGCTTCCTGCAGCGGAGTGGCAAAAATACCTAGACTTTTTGCCTCCGTGCACGTACATGGATATAGTCAATTACCTTGTTTTCGGTGTTAGTTATTACACAATGCAGGAGTTTAGAAGTCACAAGTCACTGGAGAGTTACGAGGCTTTCTGCTGTGGTTGGGTGCAGGACATGGCCATCTACAAGCCTCCAGGCGGTGAAAACACTGTTGTACTTGCAAAGGTAAGTTTTCATAACATGCGTTTTTGTGTGCTGTAATTACATTGCATTTAGCACACATTTCTTGACCATAATGACGTGTGTCATTAGATAGTTAGCTAGGCAGCTAACTTAAGATGCACTTCAGTGTTTGCAACATTAACAGCTAGGTAACCTACACTTCTTAACTTTAAAAAAACAACATGAAGACATTTCAGGACGTACCCGAGTGAAAATGCAGAGAACACACTCTCATCGACTGGGGGGTGAGATCGAAAGTAAGGTCCTTTCTTCTTATTGCAGCCAACCAAGCCATCCGGTGTCTCTTCGTCAGGTCAGACACCTGCGCTCCCTGATGTTGTATCCATTTTGGTAGCCTAAACAATTGTAAACCGTTGTTCCTACGTTTTCCTTTCTTATTGTGTGAGGTACTGGAGCAGTTTTTCACACAGCAATGAGCTCCAGGCATGGTAAAACAGAAATAGCGATGACCTCCTTTGCTACCGAGTTAACAACAACTGTTTGCCGCTGGGTGGGATCCTACCAACATGGCGGAGACGGGGAGGGGCTCTGTGCTATGACGTCAACTCCTCACTCTCAATAGGCTGCGATCCCTCAAGGCTTCATGGGGCTTCATATTGCCATCACTAGTTGAAGGACTGGAATGTCTGGATTATTGCACAATTTACACACAAGTAAGTAAGTAAGCTTTATTTATATACCGCCTTTCACAGACCAGAGTCACAAAGCGGTTTACAATTGTTATTTTTTTGGGCACTTGTCCTCTCACTCCACACAGAGATGGGAGCAGGGTCGCCGAACAGGAGGCGCATGCCAGACCTATTGTACATATTTTTAGTGGTAGGGGAAACCGGAGTACCCGGAGGAAACCTACGCAGACACAGGGAGAACATGCAAACTCCACTCAGAAAGGCCCTGGTCCGGCCAGGATTCGAACCCAGGACCTTCTTGCTGAGAGGCGAGAGTGCTATCCACTCAGCCACCGTGCCGCCCAACCAACCATCATGAGTGAGTCAATCTGGCATAATTGCTTCTGAATATTTGATCTAGGTTTATCTAATGGAGTATAAACCAATAGATATAGAAACTCACACAGCCCAAGAGAAATGTGTTTATCATTCATCCTAGGAGATAATACTCTGGGATGTAAAGAGTACACTATGAACGATATCTGTTATTTACGGTGTCTAAACATTCAGAGATAATGTTTACTTAAGCTGCAGCAATTTAAGATCCCGAGGGAAATCCTAAAGGTCACACAAGGAGAAGTTGGACAACAATCTCACAATGAACAGAGATTACGGTACTTTCTCACAGACATTACATTAGAGATCTGAACATTTATTTGATTGACACCTATTGGGAATAAAAGTCTCCACAACAGTAGCTCGTCACTTACTGATCATCATCAGGCAGGTCTCATCATTGAAGGCAGACCAGTTGGAGTTGACCAGCGCCTGCTTCATTTCTTTCATGTTGATATAGCCGCTGCGGTCGGAGTCTACACTGTGGAACCATTGGTAAGCTTCAGGGTTCACGCCATGAGGCACGTTAGCTGGGGGGAATACATTTGAGCAAAGTCAGCACTTAAGATGAAGGAGTGCAACTCTACCAGCCACAAAATAACAACAAAGCTGGGAAAATTATTGTGTCAATTTTTGCGTTGATTTCTTGCTTTAATTGCATACAATGGATTTCTGTTCATAAAAAATAAATTATAAATAACGCAACTATCTGTGGTTAATTACATATTCATTTTAGTCTATTTTAATCTGGATTAATTCATCTCTGTTTTGCAATTAATCAGTACATTTTGTTATCGATTCTCACCCCTAAAAATGATACATATTTGTTTTACTTAGAATTTCAAATTTGGTGCTTAGAGAGTGCAGAGTAGAGGACACAAAACTGCTCACATGCTGGAATGTGAATGCAGTGGCACAAATGACTCGCAGTGAACAGGAGGCCAGACATCTAATCACACAACATGTAAAATACATTGTGCAGTGATGTTGAACATGTTTACAACTAAGGAATCATTTACTTTATTCCATACATTTTGTGATTTCAAGAGACAATTTGTCTTGACTACTGTTGTTCAAGACAGATTTTTTTCCACATGTGAGCTCCAATAACTCAACTAATTGTATCTTATTATATTATACAGTGTTTAAGAAAGTGGACAGAAGGCAAAGTGGTGGAACAATTCTGAACACTGAGCCATACCTGACCTTGCAGTTCATACTCTGACTCACATTATGACTAACTCAATGTAAAGGCCTCATTGTAGGTCCATTTGTCATTTGCAGCACACAATAGCTATGAATAAGCATAGTCCTGATTCCCCATCATGACTGAGCATTTGCATGCTGGTAGAAGGGGTTCTAAAAGTATAGCTGAGATAAGTATCCGAAGGTGAAATGGATCCAGTAAGTTTGCCGTTTACCTTGTGGTGCGTGGTGTCCATAATGTCCGCCCTGAGGTTGCCCCCCATACCCACTGTAGGGTCCCCCGGGAGCATGCCCGTGCCCATAATGACCCCCATGTCCCGGGACACCGTAACTCCCTCCATAGGGTGCCCCGGGGGGCTGTGCACCTCCGTACGGAGCATGAGGCGGAGGGGGCGCGTAGGGACCACTGTGTGGAGGAGCACCGGGAGGATCGTTGCCTCCGGGATAACCCTTCAAACAAACATGGACAACGGAGGATGAGGTCAAAACAGAGAAAACTGTTCACGTTAAAAGCTAACAATAACTATCTAACAATAAACTGACGTTATCGGACTGGCTTAAAGGTACGTTCACTTGTTCAGGCTTTGTCATGTTCCAAACAGAGTGTAATCTTTCGAGTTAGTTCTGGGTTTGTTATAATTCTCACTTTGTGAATGTGTTTTTTTTAAATCAGGACCTTATAAAGTAAACACCAAATAAATTAAGTGACAGAGCATAAGTTAGCATCATTAGCCTGAACATGGCTAAATCCACATAACACAATTAACACCTGTTAACATGAAGCTCGTATGCATAAGGTCTACATGTAACTGAAAGATGGAAGAAATGTACAATACCTGTCCGTAATGAAAACTCATATTATAAAAGTTAAAGTCATCAGCTGGGTCTGCTAAAGCTCAGTGCTGCTGCGCTCCGAGTTCTGCTGCATTTCCGGGTTCGCCCTCGCTCCTGATTGGACAGACGAGTGGAAACCATGACGAAACATCAAAGCATTTGTCAATGCCGCAGTGACGTGTACGGGTAACATATGTGGTGACAAATGATCCAAGCCTATTTCCATACAGATCATCACTCGTTCATGAATATAGTTTCCTTTTTTTGTCCAACTATTTTACTTAGACATCAGTAAGTAAAATAAAGGCTATATTATGTAATTTATGGTTGTAATATATACATATCAATCAATCAACTTTATTTGTATGGCGCCTTTCCAACACAAGGCCACTCAAAGCGCCTCACAACCCACATAGTATCACACAAATCAGAGACATCAATAAATACATTAAAAACAGAATAAAATCACAAATAATGGAAAAAAAAAAATATATATTAAAAGCACACACGGGATTAAAATAATAAATAACCACAATGCATTAAAAAAAAAAAGAGTATGTATCAATAGAATCCTTCAGCCGTATGCACAGCTAAAAAGAACAGTTTTTAGCCCCGATTTAAAAATTGCCAGAGTAGATGCTAGCCTCACATCTTCAGGAAGATTGTTCCAGATTTTAGCTCCATAAATCTCAAACGCTGCCTCCCCATGTTTAGTTCTGACTCTTGGAACCAGTAAGAGGCTACCTCCTGTGCTCCTCAGAGTCCGGGTCGGTTCATATGGGACTAACAAGTCGCTTAAGTACCCTGGTGCGAGGCCATGGAGAGACTTGTACACAAGCAGTGCTGCTTTGAAGTCTATTCTCTGAGCCACAGGAAGCCAGTGCAGAGACCTGAGAACTGGACTAATGTGGTCATATTTCCTGGTCCTGGTCAGGACTCGAGCTGCAGCATTTTGGACATACTGCAGTTGTTTTACAGCCTGTTTGGAGAGACCTGTGAGCAGGCCATTGCAGTAGTCTAACCTACTGGAGACAAATGCATGGATGAGAATCTCCAGATCTGATTTAGACACTATGTTTCTAATTTTGGCAATGTTTTTCAGATGGTAAAATGCTGCTGATGTTACTGATTTGATATGACTGTTAAAATTTAAGTCTGAGTCCATTATAACTCCTAGGTTTCTGACCTTGCCTACAGGTTCCAGGGAGAGAGACTGGAGGTGACGAATAACGCTCTCTCTTTGTTTCTGAGGACCAAAGACAATCAATTCTGTTTTGTCTGCGTTTAGCTGAAGGAAGTTATTTTGCATCCAATCACTAATCTGTTGAGTACAGTGAAGGAGTGATTCCACTGGTCCATGTTCTCCTGCAGTAAGTGAGACATAAATTTGAGTGTCATCAGCGTAATTGTGGTAGGATACATTGTTGGAGCGTATTAACTGACCTAACGGCAGCATGTAAATATTGAACAGAAGAGGCCCCAGAATTGATCCCTGTGGCACTCCGCAGGTCAGAGCCATATGATCTGAGACACAGTTTCCTATCTGAACCAAGTATTTCCTGTCTTCTAGGTAAGACCTAAACCAACTTAGGGCAGTCCCAGTGACACCCACCCAGTGCTCTAGTCTCTGCAGGAGGATCTCGTGGTCGACTGTGTCGAACGCAGCACTCAGATCCAACATTACTAAAACTGTGACTTTTCCTGTGTCGGTGTTAAGTCGGATGTCATTTGTAACCTTCACTAGTGCAGTCTCAGTGCTGTGATTGGCTCTAAAGCCGGACTGGAGCGCATCAAACGAACTATTAGTTACTAAGAATTCTGTAAGTTGTTGGTAAGCAACTTTTTCCAGAATTTTTCCCATAAACGGCAGATTTGAAATGGGGCGATAATTCTTAAGAACTGTGGCATCTAGACTCCTCTTTTTTAGGAGGGGTCTGATGACTGCCGTTTTCGTATGGTAGTGTAATATATTATGTAATATTATCCTGTATTATTCTGAAAAAAACATTTGGTAGATCATTTTATTTTACACAACTATTGACAGACATCCATCCATCCATTTTCTTCCGCTTCATCCGTTGCCGGGTTGCGGGGGCAGCAGTCTAAGCAGAGACGCCCAGACTTTCCTATCCACACACACTTCCTCCAGCTCGTCCGGGGGGACCCCAAGGCGTTCCCAGGCCAGCTGAGAGACATAGTCCCTCCAGCGTGTCCTGGGTCTTCCCCGGGGCCTCCTCCCGGTGGGACGTGCCCGGAACACCTCCCCAGGAAGGCGTCCAGGAGGCATCCGGAACAGATGCCCGAGCCACCTCAACTGGTTCCTCTTGACGTGGAGAAGCAGTGGCTCTACTCCGAGCTCCTCCCGTGTGACTGAGCTCCTCACCCTATCTCTAAGGGAGCGCCCAGCCACTCTGTGGAGGAAGCTCATTTCGACCGCTTGTATCCGCGATCTCGTTCTTTCGGTCATTACCCACAGCTCATGACCATAGGTGAGGGAGGGAACGAAGATTGACCGGTAAATCGAGAGCTTTGCCTTTCGGCTCAGCTCCCTCTTTACCACAACGGTCCGATACAGAGACCGCATCACTGCGCACGCTGCACCGATCCGCCTGTCAATCTCACGCTCCATCCTCCCCTCACTTGTGAACAAGACCCCGAGATACTTGAACTCCTCCACTTGAGGAAGGACCTCTCCACCCACCTGTAGAGGGCAAGGCACCTTTTTCCGGTCGAGCACCATGGCCTCGGATTTGGAGGTGCTGATTCTCATCCCAGCCGCTTCATACTCGGCTGCAAACCGTCCCAGTATTGACAGACATAAGATTATTAAAACATAAACACAAAAGAAAGGCCCCCTCTCTCACAGAAAATATCTGAGGTTCTGGGGAAAACCCTGGCACTTTTAAGGGGAAACAGTCACATTCTGCTGTAAATATTTGATATGTGATTTTTATTGAGCTATTGAACATTTTCATCAAGTTTTCACAATGCAAAAAGGTGGCAGTGATAAGGATATGTAAACAAGAGTCTAAGTGGTCAGTAAAACAAAAATGAGCCCAATGCATATGTTTATAAAGCTACACTAGCCTATTTGCATGCTAAGAAACCTCCCATACAAATACATACAAACATAGAAAAATATAATTTATTTGCTGCTCACATTAAAAAAATCTGCTCGTTTGGCACAATTTTCAATGTATGTACATTAGTCTTTTTGTAAGTCTTTCAGTTTTGTCGTCTCGTCCTCAGTTTTATCTAGGTTGTGAATGGACGCTGTAAGATCCACTCGGATTGATGTTTTGGACTTAAACTCGGACTTTGGAGAGGCCAATGGCTTCATCTCGTGTGTCTCAGCAAAAGGCCTTCTCTCTGCCTCGGTCTTCCTCTTAATCAGTTTGACGATGCGTTTGAAGATCAGGTATGACATCTCACAAAGGCACATCAAGATGCACAGGGCCGAGGACACAACCATAAAGATAGTGAAAATCTTCTTCTCAGTGGGACGAGATATGAAGCAGTCCACAGTGTTGGGACAAGGCTCCAGGGAGCACTTGGACAGGCGCGGCATGTCGTAGCCTTCATAGATGTGGTAGAGGATGTAGAGGAAGCCTGCATCGAAGCTCGCTTTGAACACCAAGCTCACCTAAAAAAAATGTATATAAAGTATATACAATGGTTTCATGGAAAAAAATATGTATGCATGACCATTTTATCTTGAAAACAATCAACAACAAATCTACTGCAATATGATATTGTAAAAGTGTTCACAAATGAACACTTTGTGAACACTTTGACACTGCATAGTGTCTCTCATGACAGGCACAACTGGCATACCTAATGGGGATTATGAATATAGACAAATTAAACTTTGCATAATAGCAGTATTAGGGTGATTAAAATAGTAAAAAATAGATATTAATCCCTTTTTCCGAATTTTTTTTATTAAAATAATAGCATTTTAAAAGTATCATTGTGGTAATGAAATTGGTTTGTAGCCAATTCATGATCAAAACTTTAAAAAGTTTGAAATTCTTGTCAAGAAACACTATTATGTTTACTGGTACCGTCCCCTGTGGACCACTGGACAGTATGGTGTATTAGTTTATTGTTTAAGTCCTCACCAGATAGGTCCACCAGAGTCCTCCCCGTTTCTTGCCGGGGTTTGCGTACAGATGTCCTCCTTTGTGAGACGCTGCATACTGCAAGTCCTTCTTCTCCCGGTACTTGACATGTCCCACCACCAGGAGCGAGGGGCAGGTGACAAAGATGAGTTGCAGAGCCCACAGGCGGATGTGGGAGATGGGGAAGATGTGGTCGTAGCACACATTCTCGCACCCGGGCTGCTCCGTATTGCACACAAAGTCTTTGCTCTCGTCTCCCCACACTCTCTGAGCCGCCACCACAAACACCATCACCCTGAAGATGAACACCATGGACAACCATACGCGGCCGAATACTGTGGAGTACTTGTTGACCCCACTGATGAGGGATTCCAATGCAGACCAGTTCATTACTCAAGTGTATGGTGGCGGAGGCGGACGCCGAGAGGAAGTGGAGTGATGATGTCCCTACAGGGCACAAAAAAATATTCAGATCAAAAACGTTCAGTAATCAAATACGAGGCCGTACTCTTTTTCTAAACAATGAGAACATCTTTTGTATACTGTGCTTTTCAAAATCCCATGTGTATTTGAGTATAATACAATATGAGTTTATGAAGTAACATTACTAAAAGATACACATTAGCTTTATGTTTGAAGTCATTCTTTTTCACGGTGAATTATTGTGATCTGAATGTCCTCTGTCTTCTTAAAGTTATATTACATTCATTTCATTCAGACGTATGTAGGCCTATGTCCACTTTAATTAATGGGAGTCAATACCCAATGATAGGTGTGTAACCCAATATGTGCTAAAATTGCCTAGTTTTAAAGCTAACATTTGCAGAAAATACTTTCATGATTTAAAAAGGTTAAACAGAAATACAGTGCCTTGTGAAAGTATTCGGCCCCCTTGAACCTTTCAACATTTTGCCACATTTCAGTCTTCAAACATAAAGATATAACATTTTTATTTTTTGTCAAGAATCAAAAACAAGTGGGACACAATCGTGAAGTGGAACGAAATTTATTGGATAATTTAAACTTAAAAAAAAAATAAAACACTGAAAAGTGGGGCGTGCAATATTATTCGGCCCCTTTACTTCCAGTGCAGCAAACTCAGTCCAGAAGTTCAGTGAGGATCTTTGAATGATCCAATGTTGTCCTAAATGACTGATGATGATAAATAGAATGCACCTGTGTGTAATCAAGTCTCCGTATGAATGCACCTGCTCTTTGATAGTCTCAGGGTTCTGTTTAAAGTGCAGAGAGAACCATGAAGACAAAGGAACACACCAGGCAGGTCCGAGATACTGTTGTGGAGAAGTTTAAAGCCGGATTTGGATACAAAAAGATTTCCCAAGCTTTAAACATCTCAAGGAGCACTGTGCAAGCAGTTATATTGAAATAGAAGGAGTATCAGACCACTGCAAATCTACCAAGACCCGGCGTCCCTCCAAACTTTCATCTCAAACAAAGAGAAGACTGATCAGAGATGCAGTCAAGAGGCCCATGATCGCTCTGGATGAACTGCAGATAACTACAGCTGAGGTGGGAGAGTCTGTCCATAAGACAACAATCAGTCGTGCACTGCACAAATCTGGCCTTTATGGAAGAGTGGCCATTTCTCAAAGATATCCAATAAAAGTCTCTTAAAGTTTGCCACAAGCCACCTGGGAGACACACCAAACATGTGGAAGAAGGTGCTCTGGTCAGATAAAACCAAAATCAAACTTTTTGGCCACAATGCAAAACGATATGTTTGGCATAAAAGCAACACAGCTCATCACCTAAACACACCATCCCCACCTCAGCTGTAGTTATCTGCAGTTCATCCAGAGTGATCATGGGCCTCTTGTCTGCATCTCTGATCAGTCTTCTCCTTGTTTGAGATGATAGTTTTAAGTTGCATTTTAACATGTATTTTAACATGTGTTTTAACTTGTATTTTAACCAGTGTTTTAACTAGTGTTTTAAATAGTATTTTAACTAGTGTTTTAACTTGTTTATTAACTAAACATACTGTACATTTTAATTGTGATGCAAGGCGACCGTGAGTATCTACAAAGGCGCCTAAGAAATAAAATGTATTGTTTTTATTAGTACACACATTGTGAATCACTTTGTGTGACCTTGGTTTTGAATTGTGCTATATAAATAAAGTAGTATATATAGTCACATCACTTACATTATGCAGAGGATGGGTCATCATCCATGCATGTTTTCATTTCATAGCATCTTCAAAAATACAATAAAAACTGATTTATGATAAACCTGCTTTTTTCCTGTATAGCCCAGGCCGTATTAGATTTGATTCGGTTTCAAGCTTGTGCTGCATACGCCGTGGGAGCGACATTGAGTTCCAGTGCGACTTTAAGGGTCTTTGACATCGCTGACAGATTTATATAGACACAGGGAGGGTCCTCTTTTCTCTGGGTTAATATTCCCCCAGTCTGCAACACTTAGTTTAAAACATATTGTTATGCCCCCAGCCTGTCAGAAGGAAATAACAGCCACATGTCCACTGTTCCATTTCGCTCTTGTCTTGTCTAATCCACAGTATTTACATTTCCTTCAACATTTCAGCTTGACTCCCAACATATTGAGCTGTCACATATATCGCTCCACGTTTTCTGTTTCATCCAAACGGAGAGAGTATTTTTTTTTCCCCAGGGGAGAGTCTGGGTGTCATAATAACAAACTTATGATATGACATTTTTAATCAATATTTTTTTCTAACACGAGCTTTAGATTTGACATGATTTATGATTCCTTTGTGGTTTGTTTTTTAACCAGTGGGCCGTGAAATATTGGAAATGATCCAATATCACCAAATTGGGCAACCAATAACAAATACTTTTCTTTGGGGCTGTTTGATTTTCTTTTAAACCTGAGAATGACGTTGCTTTGTTAATCATAATATTTTTTGTTTCATTTATTAATATATGCAAGCTTCAAAACAGACTTACAAAGTGCTTCACGCAACCCTAGAAACAGGTTAAGATAAGACAAAGTGCAGGAAACGCTAACTGGATAAAAACAAGATATTTAATAGTGTGTAAAACATTGAAAAACAAAATAAAAAAATGCTTTCTTGTGAGAGTGTGTTTTAGGAGAGTTGTAAATGAGGCTACAGTGGGAATCCAAGCAAATTAAAATTGTCCTAATGTCCTTCTAGTTTCATTTTTGTTTCAGCTGGTGTTTTATTTCAATGAATAAGGAGTGCCATGGCTCCAAAAGGTTGGGGGCCACTGCTTTAAGACAGTGATTTGCAAACAGTGGTAGGACAAGAAGTCAAAATCTTATCAGCATTAGTACATATTGTATCTGTGACAATCTTAGCAATAGTTATAATAATTAAAAACGTCCGTATGGAAGACTATTGGCAGCTTAATTCAATTGTCTATTCATTTGTCAAATGGCTATGCATTATGTTATTTTAGTATTTATTTTGTATTTGTCAAAGTGTAATGTTATATCCTATTTTGACTTGTAATGTTCTATTCCAAAAGTTCTAATGGCAATTCAATGTGTAAAATGTCAATGAAATGTCTTTACATATTTCAAATTACAAGATTTTGAAATGAATAGCATATTGCCATGTAATTTTGGCCTCTTTATTTATTATTCTATTCATTCTTAACATGGCCTTTAGTTTAGAGTTGTATTTGGCAAAATTGCATGTTATATCCTATTTTGACTTGTATTCCACATTTGAGTATGTTAAGTTTCATTTAATGTGTTGTGAAACAGCACCTCCCTCTGGATTGCATTGCATATTGCATATTGCATTGCCACATGGTTTGAGTGCAACTTAATTCAATATGCTATGCAGTTCTTGACCCCTGGGAAGGCGGGCCCTGGTCCGCTCTCGGCCAATCAGAGACGAGTCTATATCCTCCTAGCTAGATGCGCTGTGTTGTCGATTTTTGCTGGAAGTAAATGCTGTTATGACAGATTGGAAGTAACAGATCACCCTTCATGAAGATTCCAAGTTACTCTAAGGAGGTTCTATGTAAGTATAGAAGTGTGTTTTTTTTTTTTAGAAAACACTACTGGCTAGCCAGTTAAACGTCCAGAGCTAGTAGGCTAATGTTACTTTAAAAGCGGGCTGCTCTTGGTCGGTCACCAGTCTGAAGATCCAAGTGTGCCCACTGTTTGAATCGGCTTCACATTAACTGTGACTGGTGACCGACCAAGAGCAGCCCGTTTTTAACAGAGACTCGTCTCTGATTGGCCGAGAGCGGACCAGGGCCCGCCTTTCCAGGGGTCAAGAACTGCATAGCATATTGAATTAAGTTGCACTCAAACCATGTGGCAATGCAATATGCAATATGCAATGCAATCCAGAGGGAGGTGCTCTTTTACAACACATTAAATGAAACTTAAAGTGATTGTCTGGAGTTTGTCAGAAAGAGAGACAGAGAGGTACTTGATTTGAAAAAAACGACGCAAGCTCCCTCCCCCTTCCTTTCTGATTGGTCTACACCTACATTTCCGTAACACTTTGAAATGTTAATCAGAGAACACATTATACATATACATTATTAATACACATGCACGGAGGTTTTCAGAATTATTTGTGAATGTTTTAATGAAAAAAAAAGTTTTTATGCACACAAAAAAGCGATCGCGGCAAACCAGGAAGTGCTATTATCATGAATTGTACATTATAGGACACATCTGCAGAGGATCTGATTATGGATATAGGTTCAGTATATACACAAGTACCTCAGCGCGGATGTTCAAAATTCTTTGTTCAGTTTTCATGTAGTTCCAGAGCCTAATAGAGGCTCCGCGAAAACAAACAACTGCGCATGCATCAGCGCCGATGATTGACAGCCCTTGGCATGACTCGATTGGTTAACCTCGACGGCACCGTGGATTCTGAACTATAGCTAAGAGCAGGGAAGGCGGGACTTCCCCGTAATATTAGAATTAATAAAATGACTTATTTTATATCAACATTTAAGGCCATGGTCAATTTAACACATTTCCTAAAATTTGTAATTCATTTAGAGTTACAGACTATCACTTTAACATACTCAAATGTGGAATACAAGTCAAAATAGGATATAACATGCAATTTTGCCAAATACAACTCTAAACTAAATGCCATGTTAAGAATGAATAGAACAATGTATAAAGAGGCCAAATTTCCATGCCATTATGCTATTCATTTCAAAATCTTGTAATTTGCAATATATAAAGACATTGCATCGACACTTTACATATTGAATTGCCATTAGAAATTTTGGAATAGAACATTAAATGTCAAAATTGGATATAACATTACACTTTGACAAATACAAATACAAAATAAATACTAAAAT